ACTACCTATTACTGTTGTTTATCTTACAATAACAGCAGCATTCTCTAATGAGGTTTATTAAGCTAAGCTGCTGTAAATTTATAAGAAAAAATATTTCTCTATTTCCAATAAATAACCATTTTTGATGCAACAGTGATATTTACTTTGGAGAAATTAGTGCTAATAAATGAGAACTAATTCAGGACACTGTGTTTGAGGTGCTGTCTTTATGTACATTGCTAAAGCTAAAATAATATTTGTTCAAGTGTTATTAGAGTTGATGCTAACCAAATGCAAATATTCACAACACAGACTTTCTGAAACTACTGAAGATTTAAGGCACTTCTTTAAATACAAGCATAAATATAATTTTTATTTTTATATCCTTTAATTAAGTAGTTTAGGAAGTGAAGTTATTAATTCAATAAAAAGGTGACTGCCTCTCTGTTTTTTTAGGAATTATTTTAGAGAAGCTTCACCTGTTCTGCTCTCAGCATTGAGTAATGGTAAGTCAAATATACCATAGAGTAGAAAAGTTCATACAATAGGCCAGTAGCTATGGATATAGTTTTACTTCAGCATTCTTCTGAAACAGAGAAATACAGTAAGAGTTTGCCCTTTGGTTTTTATAGTTTTGCCTTCATTGTGAGTATGTTGTTGAATTTAGCTCAAGTTTACTTAAAATTAACTTGTCCTGCCTGAACTGAAATGTGACCATTTTGTCTAGAGCTGTTGTAGGCTGATAACTTGAATAAATACATCAATATATAAAATATATGGCCATTTGCAGAAGGCTTGGAGCTTTCCCTGATATCCTGGGCTGATTTGCTGGCTGCTTTCCCCCTGTTACCCAGCCATGGTGTGTTCTGGCCATCCAGCACTGAACCCCCAGGTTCCTGCAACTGAGCTGGGTTTTACAGGTCAGGCTTGGCCATGTGCTGCTATTTTACAACTGATTCATTCTTGGCACAATTGTAGTGTGCATAAACAATTGTTTGGTCACAAAAGATTTTGAAAACAATCCATATTATAGTCTGAATTTATGCAAGCATATTATCCTGCAGCTGAATTTAGAGGAAAAAACCACCCAGTTTCACAGTATGAGCTAATGTTTGTTATCATTAGTGCTCAATCTAATAGCGACAATTTACAGCTGACAGAAGTCCAGAGGAAACAAGATCAATTGGAGATCTGAACCTTGGGTGATCTGTGTGGTAATGGTGTACTGATGCCAGAAGATTCTCACTTGGCTGTGTTTTATATACTCTTTGCAGAAGTATCAATGACCACAGAGCATGTTAAATACTGGTCACTCAGGCTTTGAAATGCAGTTCTCTTCACTAAACTGCCTTAAGGTTTTTAAAAGTCGTTGAGATGTGTATAAATGTCCATTTTGAAGACTCCAAAAGTGACCTGCTCCATGAACTGGTTCTTGGCAGCACTAGCACCAGTTATGGTTGAATAAGAAAACACTGATCCAGAAGAATGCGCTTACAACAGGCACTGCAGAATCACCTGACTCCCTCCTGGTTAGTGTTAAATGTGAAGTTCAGATAGGTGGAACAAAATTCATTAGCAGTTTATGATTCATTGTATGTAGTATTACAAAAGTTTTGCTACCAAACAATGCTAGTAATTTATTTGCAAAAGAGAATGCAATGCTGCTCTGTGTGTTTTACATGTGTGGGCTGGTATTAAAATAGGACAAGTGCTGGTAGGTTTTGCTTAATTTCCTAGAAATATTTATACTAAGGGACTATAATAAGATGAATTTCTCCCTATTGACACCAATGTTTAAATCTGTAAAGATCACAGTTTCTGCAGAATGTAATTTCCAAACAAGTTGAAAGTGTGTGGCAGATCTGGGATAGCAGTGGGGATGCAATTGAAGAGAAACCTCTCTCCTTTTGTGCCAGGGAGAAATCCAGGTTTTTAATATGATAGCATATGACAGAACTTAAGCTGTCACTAAGTGTGCTAATCTGGTACCTGTACTGTCTGTATGAACTTTAAAGATAAAAGAAATATGTTGTCTAATAAATAATTCTCATACTGTGGTTACAGATTTGTTTTCACAGTGCTGCATGAGCAATGAAATTTACAACTTCCTGCAGCACAGAATTGTTACAATTGAAAAATAAAGATCTTCAGCCATGACAAATCATTATATGGAGAAAAAAGAAAAGCAAAAAATAAGCAATATTTTCAGTTACTGAAAATTATTTCAGTTACTGAAAAAGTTACTGCTGACTTATGTGCTCAGCATTGTCATTCAAACATTTGTCTGCTTTGAAAACAGTCTGTGGAGGTGCTTTGAAGAGGAAAAGTCGTCAGAGTAAGATTACAGAAGTTAATTTCCTCATTCTTGTCTGGGTGACAACTTGCTTTTAAAGCATATGTCCATAATGATGTAGTCTCATGATGTATTTGAAAAAGGCAGTAAGAGTTTAACTTTCAAATATTTAGTGTTGTTAAATCACCACAGGAAAAACTATGAATCCCTGAGTCATCGTTTTAAAAGTTAGGAATGGTTTTATTAGTATTGCCTATGCAAATTGCTTTGTTGCCAAGAAGTTCTTTAGGAACGAGTAGGCACAAAGGCTGAGAATGGAAATGCTGGTTCAGGCAGTCCTCCTTCTTTAGAAATGGTGCAAATCATCTCCTTGGACAATGTGGTTATTCCTGCTGAACTTGATCCTGCATCTGCATGAATACAGGATGTATCAGGGGCCACAACATACACTTTTACAGAGCTGTTATCATGGAATCACTAAGGCTGGAAAAGACCCCCAAGATCATCGAGTCCAACCTTATGCTTTGTGTGTGTTTAACATTAACTCCCCCTTCTCACACCAATTAAACAAATTTCTTAGAAAAACTACAGCTTAACATGATAAGTGAAAAAGTATTTTCACCTGTGGGAAGCCTGATTGTTGTCTGATTCCAGTAGTCATTAGGGAAAACCAAGTATCCATTTTTATCTAGTCATAGTTATTATTTAATATGTATTTTCTTTATATTTAAAATATTCCTTTTTTTTTCTGTTGTTTTGAGTTTAATTACATCCAGCTATCTATTGATTATAGATTGGAAATGTGCACAAATAGGATGGCAAATTTAAATCTAATTATACTCCAAAGAAAGTTTCTGCTTTGCAAAGAGGGTCATTTAAAGTAAATGCCAATGATACAGCTACAGCTGTGAGGCTGGAGGTCATAACAGATGAGGATTTAATTCTTTTAAATTAAAGGATAACGAAAACCTATGAGTCACTTTTCCTTAACTTCATTCCCAGTGGCTACATTTCTAACAATACTGGTGTGCAAATATAGGCCTGCTAATGTGTGCACAGAAATGAACACAGACCTCAGGCTGAAATCACAATGAAAATCAGAAAATTCAATTTTGCTGTTCAGGATTTATAAAAGATCTCTACTTATGGCTACAACCTAGATAATTTTTTGCTCCTGAAGTTACAATAAATGTATCAAGGTATATAGAATATAAAGATATAAAGAAAAGCAAAATACACTAGTAAGTAATAATTTTCTGCCTAAATCCATATTGTTAATCTCTCTTTTTTTTTTCTTTTTTTTTTTTCCTCTGAGGGGAAAAAAGAATCTATTCCCTACATATTAGTGTTTTATAGCAATTTTCTCACTTGTAATATACAAATTATTAAGAGGGATATCCTCAGTTTAATATGGAAATGGCTTAGGAAATCATTCCTTGGAATTAATCTTGGGGCAAGCTGCAAAACTAATGTTTCATGGCATTTATACTGTGAGTAACATCCTGTACTTCAGAAGTAAAAGCAATTGATTTCCAGTTTAACTGTCAAATTAAAACTTCTGATTCTTATAAGCAGGGTAATTTATTATGGATCAGCAAATTATAATCTTTCCCAAATATACCAAGAGGCAGACAGGCCATTTTTACAAATGCCCACTACCTTCAAAGGAAATTTAGTGAAGATTACTATTGTGCAAAAATTTGCACTTTCTAGAATAAAGAAAACATTCAGCTTGGAATATAGTGCACATTAGCCATATAGAAGCAGTTCCTGAATGTACTGTCCTAGGTCCAGAAGACCTATTTTTGAAAATAGAAGGACTCTTTGCCTGAAAGTATAACCATGAACTCTTGTCCTCTTTTTGAAACCACAGAAAGTCCTCTCCTGAAATAAACCATTAACGAATGACGTGTATTTTAAATGGAGAGGACTTTGTACTGCAGTGTTTTTGGTGCCCTACACCAAAATTCTCAAGCAGGAAAAAGTGGCTTCAGTGTTACTCTTGTCCAGATTCAAAGTATATCTAATACCATATCATGATTTACTTTTGGGAAAGTATCAAAATTTTGAATAGCAGGCATAAAAAAAAAAATGTGCCATTTTTAGCAGAGTGGTTTTGAATCTGAATTCTGAAATGCACAAAGAGAAGAAATCTAGACAGGGAAAAAATGTTGTATTTTAACATATAAAAACCTTCTAATCCTTTTGAATCCACAGCTGACCTGCTAGAAATGTGGGTTCTGTAACATGGAATCAGTGTGCTACATTAAGGACATGTTGCTCATAATTTATTGTTCTTAATCACAAAAGGAAACCTCTAAAGGGTTTTAACCTTCTGCAGTTATTTGTGATTAGTAATTAATATCCTCCAGCTCAGAAGGTATCCAGAGCTGCCAATGTGGTCGATGAGTTTACTGTCTCTGCAGTTATAACATGCACTCTGGAATGGCCTCCACAACCCTGGCTGTGTGTGGAGAGCTCCTACAAATAACCCTGATGTTCAGTGTTCATGCAGAGCTCTTGGACCTGTGCAGTGACAAGGCACTAAAGGAACTGCCCTCAGAAAAGCTCCATCGATTGCCAACAGCATTAGATGTGAGATAACATCACCATTTGTGACCATAAACTCTAAAATACAAGTGTGTGGAGAACATGACTGGCAATCAATCATGTAAAACACTTAAAATATAATCTGATGTAGTTTTATGTCCCTTTATAGATCACTTACTTTGAGAAGTCTGAGTGTTTATAAACTTCTTTATCAAGGCGTCTGTAGTTTGTGTGTAAAGGCTCAGAGCGTACTTGAGGGACTGTAGGTCTGGGCTCTTTTCCAGGAAATTCTTTTTCAGCCCACTCCCTCCAGCATGGAAGTATTGCTAAAACGAAAAACAAATATGGTTGTTCATAGAGGAAAGTTATCTGAGAAAGCCCTCAGTTTCAGATGTACAATTCTGAGTAAAATTCTTAAATGAACTTTTAGAAATAACAGCGGTCACGTGTAGCTGAATTTATGATTATAGCTTTTGAGATAACTCATCATCTCTGCTACAGAGTTCCCAGGGTAAAAAAAAATAAGTGTTGGGGGAAGAAAAAAAATATACCAGATTTTAATTTTGGTCCTCCTGATCTGAAGTATTTCTATGCCAAAACTGGACAAATATTTGCAGCATTCTTTCAGGTTGCAAAGAGTGGAATCAGTTTAAATTCTTTATCTAAAAAAAACCCAACAAACTTTCAAATCAAGGCATATTTACAAGCACAAGTAGAGAATAGATTGCTTTTGAGGGAAAGGGAAAAAGTTTTTAAAAAACTTTAAGAGAGACGAACATAGAGTGTGAAGTTTCGGATTGGTGTTGCATTGTAATTCTGTCTGAAATTATGATTATGGCAAATTATTAGAAATTCCATGGAAATTTCCATTATCTTTTCCCATTTAAATTTTGAGCTGTTTCACTATAGATATGCAGAAAATGGGTGTGTCATCCTTGAGGGACCACATTAGGCTTTCCTGGACTGTGAAAGGGAGAGGATGGAAGAGAAAAGGAGCTCATTGGTTGAATGTCCTCGAAGGCAATAAGTAAATTTTGTCCTTCACAAGAGGATTCCTTCGGGGCAGAGCAGCTGCACCCACAGCTCCCTTTGTGTGCTCCTGGGAATGATGCAGCAGTAAACCAATAAACCAGTGGTGCTTCCTGCAAACCTAAGCTGGGGCACTTCTTCCCTCTGCAAGCAGCTGCACCCGTGCAGAGATCACTGCCAGCTGCTCAGCAAGGCCTGACAAGACAGCCCTGCTCCTTTTGCTGTCCCACTCGTCCCTTGAGTGCTCCCTCCTTCTTGCATTAAAAAAATAAAAATAAAAAATATGCATATATTAGCATAAATACTTAAAAGAGAAGATGACTACTGATCTACTAGATTTGGAACAAAACATGTTTACCACTTTGATGCCATGCTGACTATGTAAACTATAGATATATGAAATATATGTAAGCTGAATACAAAACCACATTAAATTCCCTTTTCAGTCCTAAAGCTGTCTTCAGAAAACTTGGGACAGATTCTTCTCTTCTTCCACCCTCAATGAAGAATTTTTCCTAAGATTTCAGGCAAGACAGTCATTGATGAATGAATGCACTTAAGCTCCAATGAAAAGATAAATGTGCTACATACGTTCATTTTGTTCAAACACCTTGCAAAGCATTTTGCAATCTACATTACAGCTCTAGGTCTCCAGATCAATAAAGCTCCCATTAATGGCTAATTAGTAAAAACAAACACTTTTTTTCAGGAACACACTGTGACTACTTGATGACATGGTGCAGTCTGTACAGGGAGTGCTGGGGACTGTGAGCAGAACCTTCTCGCTGCCTTTCTGGAGTGTTGCCAAAGGAATATATGAATATACGCTCTCTACATACATATCTAGCCACTAAATGCTGTATCCTAAACTTATCTGCACAGTGCACACCTACAGTCCCTTTGCATTTAGTGTACTCATTCCACCTTCTGATTCTCAAGGTTTTGCTGGAGAAGAAACATAAATGTACTTTTCATAACAGTTATTATTTACGTTTCTGTGATGAAGGCTGCTGGTTGTTATAGGGAAAAAAAATATCTGTAGGAGCAAAACAGGATTTGAAATCATGAGGCCGCAACGTTTTCTATTGCTCTGTCACTGCAGGGGCAGTTAGTGTCAGCTTTAATGGTTCTGACTAAATCACCTCTATCTTCTCATCATTGCATACTTACATAAAATTTATATCTTTCCAAGCAAATTATTTCATACTATGTATTCCAAAGAAATCTCTCTTGTCTTAATTGCTTTAAAGTGTAGTCATGATTTCATTAAGCATTATTATCAATTTATAAGCAAGTGTTAAAATCTGTTAATATTTCTTGCTATTGTGACAATTTCTGTGTTTTTTTAAAGTTCTATCTCCCAATAAAATGTTATCTGCAGTAGCAGCTGCAAATGGCTAAAAGCTCCATGAAAGCTAAGAGGTACTTAAAGAAACAAGGACACCTGACCCTTATATTCCCGAGTTTTTTACATTGCTTTGCTTTTGCCCATAAATGGTAAATTTTGCAAGCAAAACCAGTAATGTGAACATATCATAACTGTATGGAACCAAATATCGAAAAATAATGAGTAAACAGGGTTTTACAGATTCAGCTGGATGGTGATATCCTGCTCCTTAGACATGGAAACCTCAAAGCAGTTCACCTGCTCCTCATGCTCGTGTCTGAGGGGTTTCAAGGTTTGTAGGTGACACAGGAGGTTTGAAGGGCACGGTGACAAATGAAAGGGGCAGATGTCAAGTGTATGGAAATCAATGCTGGAGCCACTGCAGGCTCAGCCAAAACTTGACAATGTCACACAAGCCCTGTTGGGTGTGGGTGTCACTCTGCAGGGAGCCTCTGGGTGGACGATGGAAACCAGGACAATATTATCAATATACATATTCTCTGGGTTGAGATAATGAGACAGCAGAGAGAACTCAATATGAGATAACTGAGGCCAGAAAGCCACTTCTCCTAACAGTAAATTGCAAATTAAGCTAAAAAGACTATATATATATATATATATAATATATATATATATATAAAAAGCTACATTTCTTTTTACATAATATAAAACCTCATGATACACTATATATATTTAGGATGAAAAATTATTCCTTTGTTTTATACTCTTTGAAGCCTTAATTACACCATCAACTATTAAACGATAATTGTTTCTCAGTGAATTAAAGGAAAAATAAAAAAGACTGCAAGTACAGAGATACTCCTCCCTGCAAAACCTTTCCTTACCACAGTCATGTACCTAATTTCTGAACACATACCATATGCCATTTTTACCATTCTTCTATTCTTATTTGGGCAGCCTTGTCTTTTGCTTTTAAACAAATCAAATTTACTTAGCATTACCAAAAAAATTCTCTATTTTGATCATTACACTCATGAACTGCACTCCTAAATCAATGCAGCAGTCTTTTTTTTCTTTGAGGTATCTCACAGAGTTTGTCTTTGTTCACTTCCTACCAGTGTAAGCCCTATTCCTGCACGGTCAAGGTTATTTGCTTGGTGTTTTGGAAAGCAAAGATTTTGCCATATCAGGTTCCAAGTACAGGAAGCAGTTGTAATGCCATGTCATTGCCTCACAGTTTGAAAATAGGTTTCTCAGAAATCATTATTTAGCTCAGTTTATGAATGTAGCACACAGAGATCAGAATACTGAATAAATAAAGGATTTCCCCTGTTTAACCTTTCTCTCCATCTCTAGACTTTTTCTTTAGTAAAATGATCAATACATATCTCTGCCTCTGTGCTGGAAATTGAGGCAAGGTTAGAGTTTAGATTTTTCCCAACTTCTGTGCATTTAGAACAAACCCTTTCAACGGAAAATAGATTCATGTACTGAGCTGAAGGCTTCACATGGATTTATTTGGGAGCCTGCAGTATTTTAACATTTTGTTCCATTTCTCTTTCCACAACATTAGTAATCCTTAAAGATTATTTTTTATTTCGGAAAAAGCCAATTCCACTGTAAATCAAAAACTGCAATGGGGGAGTCCTCTCTGATGCTTTTTTCTTGTCTTTTGAGACTCTACAGCTGTCCCCTTACCTTCCTGATGTGCAGTCTCTTCACAGCAGACACAAAACCACGCTGTTATTCTTGTAACTGATTGCTTTTAAGTTACACCAAGTAACGATACAGGCCAATGTGAAAAGCACTGATAAGTACATTAAATAATACTCCTTAATGGCTTCTTTTGACTTCAGAAACCCAAGCTGTGAAGACTACATGAAAGTCTCCAGTTTTTTTATCAGAAAACCTGTCAGTCATGTTCTTGGTCATTCCAGCACAGAAGAGAAAAACACATAAAGCTGTACCTTTATAGTCACCAGTGCTACTTCCATTATTGCACATTGCCTCAGGGTCAGGCTTTTGGCTTCCTCTCGAATCACATGGTCCTGCAAAGCAAGTGAAGAATTGGTTTTGAAAGGAAACTATTGTGGCTTGTTCTTGGAAAAACAAATATACAAAAAAATCTGCCAAATGCCCTCCAAGGACATATGATTAACAAGGACTAATTCAACTTCAGACTTCTTTTACAACAACCTAGAGCAATGTTGTTTCTTGAAAACACGGACTGCAGGGGAAAAGATCCCCTGTTTAATACTATCTGCATAGCTTTATTTATTTTCCTAGGATGTGTTATTTCTCTGTTCTGGGCAGTTGGGGAAAGGTTAAAATTTAAGTTCAAATAATTAGTTGTTACAGAAATTATTAATCTTTTTAATAAACCCGAGAGTTTAACTAATGTTTGTTAATGCCCCTTTTTTTTTTTTTTTAAAGAGAGGTTCCTGTCAGAACATGTTAAACAGAGTCATAAAGTGATGAAATCTTTGTCTAATATAAGCCCCAGTGACTTACTTATGTAACATTTTAACTCCTCTAGCAAACCAAACAATTATTCATAGAAACACGAGTTACCACATATCTGCACAAATCTGAATTCCAGTTGGCAACATTGATTGGCAAACAACTGACATCAAACATCTCAGTTCTCCATTAAGTGGACTCTAGCACTGTACTGCTGAAGAGTTTATTGCAGAGGTAAATACTGTGTTTCAATGCAAACCATAAATAATGCACAGAAAGAAAATTCATAGTTTTCTCACCTTGGGGCTTTTTAGAACTGATTCCAGAAGGTAACACAAAGATGTCATTTTTTTTGGTGATGTTTACTACTTTTAAAGGCTAGTTGTGCAGTAGGGGAATGATATCTTCTTGGCCCATCTAGTGATCACTTACCATATAAGTAATCAGTCATTTATTCATAATTGGGTTTTGATGAAACTGTAAAACCATTATTCACCTTTGAGTAGTTACTGCCATATTTGATCTTTTTACGGTAAATAAGAGTGAGGTCTGAAGTTTGGCCTCACAATCACTAATTATCCATGTATTTTTTCATTAGCTCAAGCCATTCACAGCTTCATCTGGCTCCATTACCTTGAGTTTTGACAGTTGTCCAAGATCTTTGGCTGCACTGAATATCATCTGGGGCCCCTGTAATCACATTGAAAATTAAGGAAACAGACTCACTACAGTGAATTTGCTTTTTATGTCAACATGATCTTATTGTCTGCCAGGATATCAGCCAAAAGTCAAAAGTGTTTTGCAAAGTGTTTTGCAAAGCTAAATAAAAGTTTCAATTGCACGTGAGACACATTTTCCCTCAGTTGATAAGGCCAAGTAGTTGAATGCCTCAGTGTGATTCCCTCCAGGATCCCTCACTTGAAGCAAATATTGCACATTCTGCTGATAGTGGTTTTGTGTCCTCCTTTCTGCTATCCCATTTGGTGTTTAATATTTTAAGCTGAGGCCGTGATTGCTCTCACACAGTGTGTCAGTGAGATGTTTGTCCATGACCTCAGCTCTCAGGCGTTATGCTAAAATAAACAATCATCCTGGGAAGTGAGCAGCCCTAAGGAACCTGCAGAAGTATGGCTGTCTACAGTGAAATCTCAGTTGAGGAACGGTGGACTGTTAAGAAAAAACCTTTTTTTAAAAAAAAGAATGAAGTTTTATGAAGTTAAAGCAATATTTTACAATAGCCAACTCCTGGTATGACACCAAAGGCCAATACCTACGTTTGTCTCAGACAAACAGAATCCTACTGTAATTCCATGCTCACATCTTTTATCACAGTTACTCCAAATAATATAATTTTTAAAATTTGTTACTTGACAGTTCAGCAAGACATAGTTCTGAATAACAGGGTTTTAGAGAAAAAAGGTTCATCCAACTTACGCTGGACTAATTTTTCATCAGTCTTTCTGTACCAAAAGGTTTCAGTTTCCAGAAATAATTTTGCTTCTATATCCTTCAATTGAAAAAGATGTAATATGGAACTGCAGCTTAAATCTTCATTATTTATTAGCAGTGAGAATGGTAAGATAAATATGCAAATTAAAAAATAAACCCTGCTTCTGAATATGAGTGCCTCTCACCCTCAGACAGAAAGAAATAATCAGGGCTAGAAAAGAAAAACATCTCTCACAGTATCCTACGTTTTATTGATTTTCTTTAATTGTCTGTTTAATAGTAAACAGAAGTAGCAAAATAAATGCAACTAATTAATACACCTTTCTCCTGCCAATGGAGACACTTAATATAGAGTCTGCCACCAGTAAAGCTCACCTCTGACCCATGCTGTTCTGTGAAAGTGTAACAACTGATCTTGCATAAAGCTAATAAATGCTCTTAGTGCATGATGGAAAATGCCAATGTTTACCCAACATAAATTCTACTTAAGTATTTGCAGATAAAATTTCCCCCCCAAATGTTGGAAAAGCAAATTAAAGATCTCAGAAATATAAATTTCAAACAGTCATTCACTGAAAGAGAAACTGTTTCTAATTATGCATAGTAAACAACGTCATTATGGTAAACATGAACAAATTCAGTGATTGGAGTCCTGGCTATGACTTTAAGATTAGCTCTAGTCTAGAATTTTTAATAGCTCAGGTCACTTCATTACTACCTTAGCACCATTTATACATGTTCTATTAGATTTTTTCCTGCCTCTCCAGCAATATTCTTTCATGAGTCTTTAATGTATGATATGATTCTATGATATGCCTTTAACATATGGACACTGACAGATTTTTAGCAGCTTAACCGATACCATAGGATGTACAGGGCAAAATTGCCCAAAGGCACACCATGACAACATCGTGATTGTCTTGTCATAAGATGGTCAATTTATTTTAAACAAGATTGAAAACAAGAAGAATTAAGTTATGTTATCCTAGTCCCTCAAAACCACAAAAAAGCAATAAAAAAAGCGCCCTCCAACCCAGGTTCTTTTTTGTTGATCCCTAAACAGAATCAGATTTTACTGGTCAGCTCAGTCACCACTCAGAGTTCATGTCAGGCCATGACCCACATGGGTCTCGTGTAGCAGCCCCACCTTCTGTATTTACAGTTCTGTTCCCTGTTCTTGTCAGGCTGTAAATGCAGTTCTGCACAAAAAGACCTCCCATCAAGTCTGCTATTAAAATATCCCAAACCTTTAGAGCTATATTTGGCTTAAGCTTCCTGATGTTAATTAAGTGCTGCCTCAAGATGAGGAATGGCACAGCAGGCAAGCCTGGAGACTGGGATGGGGCATTCCTGCCTTTCTAGAACCTGCAAAAATGGAAGGGATTGAATTTCTGCTGCAACAGGGAAGGGCAAGGAATACACTTTGTATTACTGTGCACAATGAAGTAAAGAGCAATCAAACTTAAAAGCCCTTACTTGAGAGACACTACCAAGTCAGTGATGCAGCTTCTTTAACATGACTGTGCTCACAAAAACTGCTCTGAGTCAGGGCAGGCAGTGACAGCAGGAAGGTCTTCCACACCAGCTACATACAATTCATGTGTTATTCCTTATGGTCAGGGTACAGAACAGGACAGTGTCAGACCCCTTGGCAAACACCTGATCAAGCACTTGATTACAATCCTTTAGAACACGTGAGAATTACTGCTGGAACACTCACGGTTTGGTCTGTCAGTGGTGGAAGCACAATTTGTTTTTCTATTTTGTTTAAGACCAACTTCCAGAGCTCTTTCAAAATCCGTTTCAGAACTGTCTTCTCACAGATTTTTGCAGAGATGCTTAAACTGGAATAAAACAAAACAAAAACAGTCACTGAAACTTGTATTAAGACCTCAGAGGTGCTATATCAGTATATACTCAGATTAATGACCATTAAGGTTTAGTTTTTGTCTACCAATAAAAATTTCTCAGTAGCTTAGCTATTTTGCAATATTATCAGTAAATATTTTTGCTAAAAATTACTTGCAGATTACAAACTCATGTAAATCTCCACTATCTAATTTAATGCTTAGTACATAACTGATGTATATTTATTATAAATGCAAAATGATGATGAGTTATAAAGTTTGATGGATGATAGAATTTAGCACTCCCACGCCCCTGAATTAAAGTTTCGGCATATAATTTATGTCTTAAAAATAAAACCCAAATGTCTCCCTTATTTTATATTTCTGCTGGGATGTAGAACTAGGTGCTGACAGTTAATGCATATTCACAGCTACTGTTTGCAAGCATTTATTTCTATGTACTGACATGTTTGTGCAGTCATGCTATTTATTAACAGTGAAATTAAATTTTTGGAGCATCTTTTCCATCTTAACTTTGAAAATGTCTGGCTAGGGAAATTATGCATGAGGAGCCCAAAGGGTATGTAATTCATGTCTTTGTGACTGGAGACCTGAAGTGCAGGATCAGTGCCAGGCTGCTTGTTCAACCACTTCCAGCAAAAGGCCACTGGTGTTTCACAAGTACCAGTAACAACAAGGACAGCCATGTGCTTACAGACATGCCTGTGCTGCACACGGGCTTGCAGAGCCTGTCACTGCTGCATGATGACAAGTTAAGTTACCCTTACTTTCAGAGGCCAGAGTAAGTTTCCAGGTCCCTTTAAAAATTTAGGATTTTACCAAATGAAAAAAAACCCAAACAACCTGGTCTTTAGGTGGTGAGCAGGTTTTTGGGGACACAGAAGTGCATATTAATCAGCAGTGGGACACGGGGTGCCAGCCTAGAACAAATGCCAGTTTCAGTATGGGAATTTATTTTTGTTCTTTTGTTCAGTACAATCTTTTTTCATAATGTGGCAAGTGGAGGAGAAGCTTTACACCACTTCCTTTGCAATGACTCAGAACATGACAAGACATAGAAAGGCAAGTATGTAGCTCATGTAAACATTGCTTAGTCAAGGTAAACAGGTTAAGCATGGTATTCTGCACACATGTGAGTGCTGCAAGTATTAAACCCACTACAGAGTGTTTCTAGGTATTAAAAATCCTTCAGGGTAAAACTAAGAATGCCTGACTGTAGCATCCAGTTCCTAATCTGCCACACTTACGTTTTGTCCAGGAAATCCATGAGAGGCCGAAGCACAATCTCAGCATCGATGGCTGCACTGTTCTTGTTGGCTGCTGCATTCCCATTGCCTCTCATTTGATTCAGTTCATTGCTCATTTGTCTTACACAATCTTCAATAACAAATTGGAAACTATACGATGAAAAATAAAAGAGAAAGATGAAAGAATTCAACATTTATCATTTTGCATCAGGGTCTTCACCAAGATTTAAATCTTCTCTGCAGTAGTGCAAAGTTCATAAATGAAGATACTGTGGTATCTGAAAATAACCTCTACTAAGAATCGTAGCTCATATTTCATGCAGTGTTCTGGTCTTTTCCCCCTTTTCTATTCTGTGATGTTTTTCATACTCTTGTAGTGGTGCCAAGTATTTATTTTCTGAAAGCACCAGATGTATCAGAATCTGCAGGTTAGAGCATAGCTGACTAACAGCTAGGGACGATTTCTCAAGATTTCATTGCTGGTGTGAAAGAACAATAGGAGCAGTCGACAATAAAAAGTTTTTCTCTTGATGGTGAATATGAACCAAGCTTTGATATTCTTCTTGAGGACAAATAGAACTTCTACTGATTTTACCCCATTTGGCTCAATTGGACTTTTTATGGGTTTCACATGAAGTCAGTGCCATCAGAAGCTTTGCTTACTTCTTTGCAACTAGAGAGAGCTAAAGCATTTGGACTGTTTAAAATATCCTTTTGCAAAAAACCCTGCTTAGAAGTACTGAAACTTTTCCTCCTAGGAGGAAACTTCCTCCACTTCAAAGTCATTGTGAACACATTCTTGCTCCTCAAGTTTGTATCTGTTCAGCTTTTCTGAAAACTGTTCTGTTTCCTAACTGATCTGGTTAAGTGTCTGACAGTCTTATAGTGCTATTGATGTGATAAAGTCTTTGGTCAATATATTATACAATGCAGAACAGCAGTAAATCAGAGTCATCAGTTCAGAGGTAGAATGAGTCTCTGCACACATGGTAATTTGGTTTATGGATTGATTTATGATGAAGTGAAATGTTTTAGGATTAGTTTATCAACAGAAATGCCAAATAGAGGCCAGAAATATATCAGGGCTATTAAAGTGAAAAGATAAATGGCAAAGATTAACTTGAGAAAAGTGAAAGAGAATTTACTGTGAGAGAAAAGAAACATTATAATTAGGCAGTAAGCTTTTCCACTGACATGGCTAATCATAAAAAGAAACTGCAAACCTCCATGTGAAAAAAATGGAAAACTTGGAAACTTTTCCAAGTTCTCTTGGAAACATACTTACTTACACACATCAAAGCCCTAGATAAAATTACATGAGGCTGCTAGTGAAGCTGCTCGTGTACATCCTTGAGACCAGTCCCTCCAACAAGTGTCAAAATAATTCATTGTCTTTCTTGACATTAGCCATCTTTCTAACCTTGTTAACCTCACAAATCCAAGAAGTAAACTGACCCATGAGGAATGTTCTAGCTATATGGAGCATATCCTAGATTGAGCTATTCTGGATTCTCTTTTGCAGAAACCTAGTCAGTTCATTCAGAAAGAAGCCCTGGAAAGAAATAATATTCATGCACTGTCAATGATCCAAGAACCAGGACCTGGGAGCAAAAATAAAGCAAGACAATACAGCAAACTAAGCACACAGAAGAAAGCAAACACTGTCCACCCAGACAGTTCATTGGTGGATTGTAAATAAGTAACTACAGACTTTGCTTAATGAACACCACTACAGCACTAATCCCTCTCTCAGATTTCTTTCTAATCTGAAGCAAAAGTAACTTACTGCTGCTTATACCACAGGCACTCCTGGCACAGCACCATACTCATTCAAGACTGCACTCTGACTAATGAAAGATTTTGAGAGTAAGGCTCAGTAGACAATATTTGCAGAGCCACAGGCAAGCAAATGACGCAAGAAGGCCATTCATGATGACCATTTGGAGCAGGCTAAACATAGGCAGACATCCCTGACTGAAGCAGGTCACTTGGAAAAAGCTGTCAGTCTCAGGAAGTAACATAAACATGGTCAGAGAGAAAACTTCAACATAGCATCAGGCAGGAACAAAACAGTGATTTTGCTTTCCAAAAAGCAGAACAAAAATCATCAGCCTCACCTCTGTAACACATTCATGCCCACAGATGATCTTCAGTTTTGTTTACAGCGAGGTTAATGTTAATTGTTTCAGTCTAAACACATACACAGACACAAAGGCACACACCACTCCACCAGGGCAGAGGCAAGCCAAGCCTTAGGACATCCAAACAACAACCCAGACTTCATCAACGAGGTAGATTTTTGAGCAGGAATATTTCTCTAAGGTTTGCAGTAAAATGGCTTTGTTACCTTGCAGCATATGTTACACTGAGTTCATCCAATACATTGCTAAGTTTCGCCTGAAGTTCTTTTAGAACAACACTAGCTTCAGGATCCAACTGCAAAGAGATAAAGAATGTTATATTTTACTTATACACTAGGTTTCTGTGTCTCCCATTACAATTAATTAATTAGGAATTATGTGCGACAGTACACTGCACCATGGAAAACCAAATGTGGAAACACCTGTTGCAACACAGAATTGCTTTAGTAAGCCTAAAAATCCAATTAGTATTTAAAGAAAAATATGGAAAATATTTGATTACCATAGTGAAAAATGATATTGTTAGAAATTGAAACTGTGCCATTGAAAAATGACTTTCTATGGGTTTGTGTAAATTGGGTTGGCAGTCACAAGGACAGAAGTACCATTATCAGGCAGGCACTATTCACAAAGCACAGCAAGGGAAGGATGCATAAGAAGTTAGTGCTTGTGTTAATAGTACTGCAGATGTTTTTTTTATTTTTATTATTTTTGTACATGTCACCACTGTTGGTATTTCTTTTTTGTGATTTGCACTGGAGATGTTTCCATATTTCCATTAATGCAGTGTAAAAGTAGAACAGCCAGCACTGGAAAAGATGGCTTGAAGACCATCCATGCTGCTTCTACTGACACAGTATGCAGGAAGGGAATCTACCAAATTCCAGTACTGCTGCTTCTAAAAGCCATTAAGGCATACATAATTCAAGCACAGAGCAACACATTCTGATGCACAGGGAGCAGCTCCTGTACCTCTGATACAGGTTTTCTAAACATAGAAAATGCAGGGGAGAAAGATATTTTTTCATTTACAGAGATGAGGATACATGCATAGATATTTAATCAAAAAGGTACCATGTTGTTATTGATCAGCAGCTTGTTTATTTGCTATGCATTCTTTTTCAAATTAAAAAACCATAATTTTTTCATCTCCTTTATTGTTAGTATTTAGGGAAAATAGTGACAGCCCATTGTGGGATATGACTGATGATCATCAGGATCAGCAGCTGAATGTGAATTAGTAGTTCATGTTCCAGGCCTTTCAGTTATCTACATCCCAATGTTAAGGAATGATTTGCAATGATAACCCTCAATTTCTGCACTCTGTTCTGCAGTAAGGTCAGGTACAGATCTGACAATTTCAAAGGACCTGTGCATTTTGAATACATAATCAGCTCTGTCTCTATTGGCATTTCCCTATCTTTCAGCTGCATGAGTAGCATTTAGTGCTTATCCTTCATCTGGTGCTTCAGAGTGCTGTGGTGCAGCAGGTCAGTTCTCTTAATCACACTTCAGAGACAAGGGGAAGCTATCCCAGTACACTGGATAATTTATGTGAGACTACACAGGAATTCTATAGCAAAGTAAACTCTGAAACAGATCCAATGATCTGCTGTGTTCTGTCTTAGACCATCCTTTCTCTCCTTAGAGATAATGTGTGATTTAAAAACAGAAAATCCAAGATTTTCACTACAATTATTGACGAAAACCTGGAATAGGTGACAAAAGGGGGTTTACCACACATCCTTTAGAAGGTACTCAGTGTTGTGTAGCACTCTTCTAATCTGACAAGCTCACTTTTTACTATTGTAAGTACTTACTTTGGCTACTTACAGATTTAGCTTTGAATTACTTTGCATTGAGAGTTCTGTTGCTTCTCTATATCTTAGTAGTTTTCCTGGCAGATACACTGTGACAGTTCATACACTTAAAGTGATTGTTTTCCTTCATGTGAAAAGCAGGGATTAAAGAGCTAATTTTATTGCAATGTCTACATTAGTTAATAGAGTTAGAGTTTACTAACAAAGGCAAAGATTTTTCCATTAAATGCATTTCTCTAGGGAGTTATACCACCTCCTTTGGTAGGATACATATAAAACACAGATTTAAGACCAGAATATTAACATAACCAGAATATTTAAGACTAGAATATCAACATTTAACAAATATTGAACACATAAGCATTCACACTGAACATGGTACGTGTCAAAATAAGCACAAAATACCAGGCAGGCAGAAGACTCAAAATTTCTTAGCAGATCATGCACAAGCTAGAGAATCACCTTGTTACTGGGCCTACAGAGGTCAGTGTAGTTACTTTCTATCAGAGGTTGTTGTGATAACCAGAAAACACAATACATCTGCTAAATTCACCTGTAGTTGAACTTAGTCTCACCAAAAGAACTGGAATAAATACTAATGCCAGATATAAGGACACATTATAAAAGGGTGCATGCAAGTGTTAAACGTTTTAGAGGGCTTTGTGCTCACAAATTGCATGAACAAGTTTGTGTGTGCACAGCTGGAGGCATCTGGCAGGACATCCAGCCTTGTGTAGACACGTGCTCATGCTTATTGATGAGGTGCCAGAGGGAGGAGTGGAGTATAAAGAGGTATGCGGGCTGCCCACCAGGTGCTGGGCACCTGGGGATGCTCTCAGGGCTAAGAATATGTTAGCAAGAGTTTGAAATGTTACTGTTCCTTTTGTTTCACTGGAAAACACGGTGATTTGAGTGTCTCACAAGAACTACAATGTGCACTTTTCATTTATTTTAACATGTGCCTTCTATGTGCTATTGATTGTCCTCAGGCATCACCCAAATGTACCAGAACCATGACTTGCCTTTTTTTTCCTCATATGGTGGGAGCAGGCAAGTGAGACAGTAGGCAATGCTGATCAGCATCTGAGAGGATGTCATATAGGGATATACAGATATGAAAATGAAGTATCTCCAATCCTGGGGACTTTTCTTTTTCTCCTCATGTTTCATCAGCTCCATTGAACTTGATGAAAAAGGAATAAAACCCAACAAACTTGCCTGAATTATTTTTCAGGAAAATAAAAGGAAAAAAGCCCTAACTGAGCAGATTATTTTTGGAAAAAAAAAGAAAAAAAAGATGAGTGTGATTAGTGTGCCATATCTGATTTGAGCATCAAAGGAGAAAAGACCATTTATCCCTTAGCTCTTTGGATTTCACTCCCAGTTCACAGCATGTGTGGGCTAGTCTTAAAAACATCCATAGGTTGGCTCAGGTATCAAAACTGGAATTTTTTAAGGAGCAAACTGAATGTGTAAATCATACTTTTTTACCAATTCTTAATTTGCTTGGCTTTCTTAGCTTCCTTTTTTAACACCTTCTTACATAATTGAGTTAATTTTTACCCACAGCAGAATATACTCATAAATTTGTTGGCACACTTCATGAGATTTGTTAATTATGGATTATTAAACAGATAATTAGAACTTTGACTTTTTCTGAGTGCCACACGAAAACAGAGAATACATTTGCTGAACAGCTGAAAACCAAGAAATATTTGAACATCACTGTTTCCAAATGCTGCCTGTCTAAAACTGTGACTATTTTTACACTGGCAAGCCTTGGAAAAGAGTTAGGAATCTGATGAATTTGGCTGCTTTCAACATAATGTGTTAGATTGAGGTATTCCCTGCTGTAATTTCGTGTGTGCTAGTAGGGACGTAATCTTGTTAACTGCAAATTTGGTAGTGTTTCTGTAGGAAACTACAGAGATGCAAATTACTTTTGCATGAGGTAAATGGAACCCCTCTAACCTGAATTTCATTTATCTGCAGTTTCAAAGGTCTAACTGCTTATAGTTTCCTAATGCAGTTCTCTTCAGAAAATAGTTTTACCTATCCAGGAAAGATAGAGGTATTTATCAGATCCATCACTTACGTGGTTCTTTTTGTCTCTGATACACATCATCCTTCCTCTACCCCCACCAGACTCTCTAGGGACAGTGAGATGTTTGGCTGCTGCTGCTGCTCTAACTACACTTATGAACACCTGGGCCTCTGACTTCACAGATTTAAAGATGGACACTTCAGAACTGTCCTGCTTAAGTCTGGCCCTCTGTCATCCCATCAAAGTCTATAAAGTCACATATGGATTCCTATAGGAATTCCTAAGCTTTACATATAAAGTTGGAAGTGAACTTATCCAAGTGGAAATATGATTTATCTACAGTCATTATAATACTGTCATACATAAAGCTTTACACCTTTTTTTTTTGATCCTAATTGCTGTAACTCATTTCTGCCATGTTCTGCTATCTGATGAAAAGCAACACAAGCATTAACTTTTTTTTCTTTCTCTTTTATCAGCTTCCAACATGTCAGACATGAAAAAAGTGCTTAGTGTAAATGTATGCCTTCCTTTTGGATGAAACAAACAGGAGCTAAACCAAAATTTTATGACAGTGAATCTGTTCTCATGTTTTTTAGACTTGATTTAAAAAACTCCAAACAAACAGTGGGTTGAATCCCACTTTACTACTCTTTATTATGGCAGACTGTTCTCATTGATATAATTTTTAAGTACCCTTTCTACTTTGCTGCAGCAGAAGAGGATAGTTATAAAGAAACTCATATTGTTCAGACTATTTTATTTGAATGGTAGGGATGCTGAGAAACCAGTTTTTTCTCTATTTATAGAGCTCCCTGCCCTGCAATATGCAATAAGCCTACCCTGAACATAGGGATTGCTGTTTGATTGTGGCTGTTTTGACTGCACAGTTTGAAAGACATACTGCTCACAGTATGACACTGAGGAGATTAACAGCATTTAATTTTTCTTAGAATTAGTTTTGCTTCAACTGAAATAGGTCTCATTATTCTGCTGAAAATCATCTGACTTTTATGCCCTCCACAAGTAAAATATTAAACTATTTTTTCCCTGCAAGGAAACTGCTTACAGATTTTATTGCTGGCTTTGTTTCTTATAAGTACCAGTCCAATAAGCCAAATTGGCCATTAGCAGATGTGCTTTTGGAATAGCTAGGGGAATTTATATTCTAATTCGAGGACAAACATTTTAGGGGCACTTTGATATGGGTGACAAAAAATTGAATGTGAATGTACTTTTCTTCAAGAAATTGCCCTAATGAGAAACAAACGAAACTGAATATATTTTTTAGAACTTTTTTCTTAGACCGTGAATCAGAGATGCACTTAAGGTACCTAACAAATGGATATTAGAAAAATATATCCAAATTCTCTATGAGGGTTGTATGTTGTACCACATTTGTAGGAAATGTTGCTTTGGTACTCTAACAACCTTAATAATTCATCCTCATTAACATCAAAAGGAAAGCAACAAGGACTGAGAAGTGATGAGAGATTTTGAAAGAAAACTGCAATGAAAGAGTCCTAATTATTTTTTGTACTATTATTTTTTATTATATAAGGTATTGTGAGCAAAAACCTTAACATTTTCTTGAGGGAAATGGAACATTTTGGAGACTCAAGAAAGTATTCTGATATGAAATTAATTTGATAGAAATAAAGTGTTACTCAGCTTTCCTCTGCCCTTGTCTGTATCGGGATTTATGGACAATTAGCTGTTTTTATGAATCATGATGTTCAAATGTGGGATTGGATCCAAGACCTAATACAAAAGTACTTTGCACAGAACATAAGAGCACAGAAGACAAGTTTATTTGTAATATATAAAAGTGAAAGAGGATTAAGAGGAACCACAAACCCAGCCATGTCTGGATGATAAATATACATCCTCCAAGTTTGGTCAGATGTCTTCAATGCCAGCAAGGCTGCAGAAGTTGATTTCATGTCCTCTGGAGCCATGGCAGCTTCAGGAAGCTGTTCCTGGCTCAGCAGAACCTCCTCACCGTGGAGTTAATCTGTAGGTTTATCTGCAGGCTGCAGTCCATTGCATGACACAGGGGACTCTCTCACCTCTGAGTGCCCCGTTGTGGATGTGGGAATATGAAATGCATGGAACTGGAAATGTATTTTCCAGTTCTCTCTGCAACGTGTCCACATTAGTGGACTTGTAAGTTTTGTGAATTTATCAAACTGCAGTCTCAACGAGAATGAGCTAATGTATCTGTCACTTCTTTTTAAAGCCAGCTACTGTTACTAAGGGTAGCACTTCATGATCTAAACATTGCTCCTCAGCAAGATGATAGATTTTTTCTATAGCTGGAAAATATGTTAATGTCTTCACTGTGTTTCAGAATAGTCAAAGACTACAGTCAGCAAAGTACTGAAGAATGTGTTTATGTCCCTTTACTGTTGACAGGACTTGAGGCATTTTAAGCCTTCTGAAATAAAAAAGGAGACAAAGCTAAGCGTGTTCTGGACTGTTGAGTAGCAGCTCTTGGTAAACTGGTGTCTTGAATACAAGCAGGCCCTCAGATACTGAAAAGTGCACTTAAAATGTTTTATAATTTTTTTTTTAAAGCTTTGAAAGACTTTACACTATCTGCCTAGTAAAACTTTTCAATTTAGAGTGTCAAATGAATGCCCAAGCATAGCTCTTTTTGATTTTAGATCGTAGGGAATTACACAAATGCATCGATGGAAGTAAGTAGAAAATGTGACTGTTCTTAGCCTTAGAAAATAACGGTCAGGAATAATAAAAGATGCTTACTATCACAAACCTCATAAGAGAATCTCTCTCCTTCTTTCTTCTGCTCAGTGGATTGCAAGTCAAAGGCATTAGACAAAGACATGACAAATTACAGACAAAACGTACCAATACATAAAAAGCAAAGTATAGTCCAGTACAAACATTAAAATCAAGCTGGCACTACAGATTGCAACACAGAACACCCAGTGCTGATTGAACATTACAGATCATTAGCATTTTTCTGTGAAATAGAGGTTGGTCTTTCTACTATTGTCAGGATGTTAAATAGGTCCTGGAGACTTTTTTTCTTAACATTTTGATTTTCTTTGTAAGTAGAAGTGAAACCTGTTACTAGGTTGCAAACATGGTGCTAATGATCTCTAAGGAACTTTGAATGAACCAGGAAACAAATATGGCTCACCTCCTTTCCTCCCATGGACTCAAACATTTTCTCAAGCTGGACTCTTAATTGTTGAATGTTGTTCATCAAGATACAGGCCTACAAAGAGAGCATCAGATGTGAGGTTGTGCATGACCAACTCCTCAGCAGCCCTGCATTTGTAGAATTATAGAATCATCAAGGTCAGAAAGGATCTCTAAGATCATCATTCATGCCACTGTGTTTTTCAGAGGAGATCCCCAAACAGTACTGCCTTTCCTTCTTCCTTTAATTGACAATCAGATCGCAGCATTTCACGTCCTGAGTTCTATGTCCCAGGGAGTTGCTCCTTATACTTAGTACAGTTACATCTGGGGGACTGATGCAAGTAGCACATCATCATCTCTTGGAGAGCGGAGGCAACAATGATCAAAGTGCTTTGGAGTGACAATAAGAGGGATGAAGGGGATTGCCAGATTGCTTTCTAGACCCAGCCTTCGCAGAAACCTGACAGCACCGTAACCCAGATAACGGCTGATGCTGAGGAATTTGAATAAACCAACAGGCAGTTCTGCTAAGAACAGAGTATTTCAGAAATATGCAGTTTTGCATTGCTTTTCACATTACTTGAAAAGTTGGTGAGTGAACTAGGCAAAAGAATTCTGTGATCATGTTATTTTAGTCTAGAAATGTTGCTGTTTAAGCCCATTTTTTAAGGCAGAACACAGAGCCAATGAGTAAAAGGGAGCGGTTTCTGTATAAACATAAGGTCAAAAATAAAACATTAATAAAATTAAGGAGTTTGTTAAAAAAATCGTGGAAGAGAGAATCCATTACTAGAATTTTGTGCACTCAGATTATATGCTGGTTTGTTATGGTGTAGGAAAAGCAATAAGACAATATTTTCTAAAAGAGCTCTGGCTGGCCAAGGCCAGTGTCTTCTACTGCATGAGTGGGTATTTTAGGCACTGAAGTAGTGCATATAAATAAATAAAACACATATACTTCTTTTCAGACAAGAAGGTGGTGATGGAAGATTACAGTGATTAATAATAATTTGTACATTTCCAGTTAATAACATGTTCCAATGCAGTGCTGAAACATGGTGGGAATCAATAACATGATTTAGCTTTAATTATTAATACATTACTTTCAAAGGCATTTAGTATCTTCTCAACTGAAGGAAAAAATAAAGAAATTTAATCTAACTTCTTAATACTTAGACTACTGCTTCCCAGGAAAGCATGCTATTTGTGCTCCTGCAGAAGACAGCTGGCTCTGGACAGTGGTTGAAATGTTACCTCTCTGCCCGTCTCTCCTTATATTTGTCTATATACCTTCTATTAATTCACAATCATGTAAGACTGTGTCCTCCTTTCCTGTGCTATCTCCTCTCTTCTAAAAAATTCAATATTCTGGAAATTATCTGCAATATCACAAGTCAATAATTATAATTTCTGATGGAGGCATAAGTAGCTGAGTATGACACCTTGGTCCTTTTGTTCCAAACAAATGCAAATGCCTTTGACAATGTACTGAGGCTACAACTGAAATACTTCCTACTGAAACAGTTTTCAAAGTTTCCTTTGAGGCTGGCTCAGCTGGCTCTTTCAGAGCCTGAGCCTAACTTGTCTCACTGAAAAATTTGCTATTGTTGTCAGTAAAGAACATGACTTAAAAACATTCTCTTTGTATTTTATTATCATCTTGCCCCTCAGAACAGTCTTTGCAGCAATTTGCAGGAATCAGACAACCAGATGCAACAACATGTAAAAGTGAGTGGCAATTACAATACATAAACCTGGGTTTGTTTGTAAATGCTGACAGGAGGTAGAAGATAAGATATATAGCTTTATGATAAGCATCTTCAACATGCTTTTGTTTGAACAGTTTATGTGCACATTTTCTAGCGTTTAATACAATTACTAAAAGTATTGGCTTGAAAAGGAATGCCAAATTCTAATTTTAAGAATAAAAAGTGTTTGTTTTAATGCCTTCTATCAAATCTAATGCAGGAGATGGACATTTATTGTAGTTGAAATTAACATAGCAAATGGTCTTTTATTAACCTAAAAGTTATGAATTTCAGTAGGGCAACTTCTGTTAAAAAAAAGTTATGTTCCTCAAGGACTTTTGATACAATACTTTATACTTGGTCTAGTGGAAGGTGTCTCTGCTTATGGCAGGGGGGTTGGAATTACATGATCCTGAAGGCCCCTTTCAACCCAAACCATTCTATGATTCTGTGATACTCTAAGGAGATTAATTCCATCTAAATCCTTAATAAAGATGAGCCTATGAGGATGACTTCAGAAATCCATAATTCCAACAAGTAAAAAAATCCCACTGGACAGGCCAAAAGACTCCACAAACAGTTTGACTTGGTAATTCAGCACTGTATCAAAACTAATTTCTTCTAGAAACCAGTAAGGTTTATTTAATATTGGCACTAAAGTCATAAGAACCACCAATAATTGATATTTAGCTCCAATAGACGTCCTTCTGAATTCTATTATTGCATATGTTGGAGACTCTAGATCATCACACCTGCTCTCAACACAGAGAGCACGTCCTCAAGCCATGCACAGATGGGACAAGTACAGCTGAGATCTGTGATGGGCTGGGTAAGGGCTGTACCCTGACAGGTGCAGTGTGAGGATGGGGCTGCAGTTATTTATCTGCCTGTAGATTGATACAGCTGTACAAGATGTCACTAAATACAGCAGCCATAGTGCTAAATGCTGCCAGTTGTGGGAGTACCAGCTTTGACTGAACATCAATGATACTGAAAAGTCAGTTTACAAGAATCATTTTCCTAGGTCTTGTTAAGGTATTGATAATGCCTCCACCTGCTCAACCACAGCTTTAGTGTCCACATCTCATTTATTTCTGAGTCCATAGCAATCTGGTCCTTCATTAGGGACTCCCTTGTAAGCAGTGAGGCACCAAAACAGCATGTGATTTTTTTTCTCACTGTTGTGTGGGTAAAGCACAGTGGTAGGAGCAGAAAGGTCTGCACACCTTCCCTGCACAGGGAACAATGATCTCATAAACTCTCCAGTGTATACATTGATAGAGACAGTGCAAAATGAAAACTAAACAAAAATGTTTTTTCTATTTGGGAAACAAGATGAAGATACATTCATCATATCCACTGCTAATGTCCAGAGTGTGTTTGTGGGTCATCTCTTTTTTTTTTTTTTATAAACTTTAATACTGAAATTATTAACTAGGATTTTTAACTAATGTCACCTCTTCCAGCTTGTACATGTCAATGTAAGCAGCTATGAAAATATGCTGACCTCCTTCCATTCACGCCTTTTAACATATAAAGAAGTGATTACATTTTCAAAAAGTACAATAAGTCATTTAAAGGTAGTTTCTGAGGCAGAAAAAACCACAGCTGCTTACCACATTTTCTTTATCACAATACGAGCTGAAGTAACTTGAAATAATAGCAGCATACTGAAGAAGCACTTTGTTGATAGTCTAGAAGAGGATAAGAATCTTTTAAATGGTAAATTTCATAATGTGAAACAAAAATAATAAAAAAGGAGGTTTATATAAACGATAGATTTTACAGGTACTTACACATTTAGTATATAGTATTGTTTAGATATAATATAAACAATCCTGTGAGCACATTTTCAAATGCCTGCACAGCAGATGGTGGGTTGTTCTTAATGCAATGTAATCTTCAATAACAGAGATAGTTTAATTTTAGCTGTACTGTTTTTACTCCTTGCAATGTTCTACATAGTTATTGGAACAGTAGCAAGCTCAAAAAAATCCTCCAGGGTGACAATACATACATTAGAAATATAATGGAAAAAATAAGACAAAAAGAGCACTGCTCAAAGCCTGGCAATATGAGTTACCTTCCAATAATCATGTAAATAGGAACTTTTGTTGCAATGAAAGAACAGGATTAAATGTAAATGTGAACTTTTTTAGAGCCATCAGGACTGTAATGGACATCTAGAGCTTGTGAGAAAATGTTACAATACAAATAGAAAGCTGCCCTAAGAGCTGAGTTTATCAAACAGCAGGTGAAAAAGAACTCACACCTCAGGGCTTCAACCAAAAATACTTTATTGCCACACTTTGAATTTTTACTTCAATTGCACTCACTATTTAGCTAATTGCATTTCACTGAATTGCTCCATTAATGGAATTGTAATTAGTGCTTAGCAAGGTAATAACTGACTATATAACATATACCTACATGTACATATATGTATAAACTATTTAAATGTGAAATCTCAGGACAGAACTTCTCAAACTGGTAAATCATTTTGACAAAGTAGATGAAAAACTGCCTTAAGGCACCAACTGCCTGTCTTTCTGAGGATCCCACTCAGAAAACATTGATTCTGAAAAACATTGGGACCACTTAGCTTTTTTAAGTACATGACAACACAATGTCATTCCCTCCAAAGCTTAGTTGAGGCACACTGATTTTAATTTACCTTTGCAAATCTTCTCATTAAGTGAGATAGTGCTTCTGGATTAGGACACTCCAGTTTCCTAATAATCTCAAAGCTTTGATTGAGCTGTGTGAAGACATCAACCACAGAACAAGAGAAGAGGGCATGATCTGACGTTTGCTGAAACTGGAAAGGAACATTCAAATGAGTTAATGTTTGTTCAAGGATCAAAACTGTATTAACTGATTCTTACACTTGAAATTCTTCCTAGAGTCGCAAAAAGTAATAAAGAAAAAATAATTTAAAGAAGTCTCACTGATAATACTGAGAAATGTGGCTTTTCATGTTTCTGTAACCTATTAAAACTAAAATCAAAATTCTCCTTCACGACATCATTATCACATCATAGGTCAGTGAAACCACAGATTAGAGTCTGTGGGGATTTAGACAGATAGAATTAGAGGAGGAATTTGTCTATAGGGTTATCTTCCAAAAACGGTTATCTTCTGAGGTCTAACAAGAATACTGTGGGACCAAATGGACTTCTGGTTTTGCAATACTAAATAACTGTCTTGATACTTTATTTATTCTTTTATTTAAAAAGTAAATGCTCACCCCATCTTTTTTGTCTCTTTCTAGTGCTCCATGAAGAAACTCCATTGAGACATCTTCATTTTCATCCAGCCACTGAATGACAAATGGTTCAAACCACCTGAAAATGAAAAGTAATTTTATAAAGTAGATATGTTGCATAAAGATCCTGAAAGGAGAGACGTCACACTACCCAACCGTTTGGCATCTCATGTCTTCATATCAATTCTTATTGCTAAAAAGTCTTAACAACCCTAGAAAAATGTTTGTCACCAAAGAATCTGTGGCTACCAAAAGGCTTTTTGGGCTTCAGTTTCACATACTGGTGTGCCTTAGTGATGTAAAATTAGCAGCAGCTAATCCTCTACCACGTGGAAGGCACCTGTCTTGTCAATACTGGCTTCTTGTTAACATTAAATAACATGCATAAAACTCTGTTTTAGTAAAACATCAGCTGTGTTTTATTTTTCTTTAGTTCATTAAAAAAATTTAATGTAATAAGAGGCCTCAAACCATCTCAGCAAATCAGCACACTTGCAGAAGAATAAGGAATGAGATTAAGGATAGCTCATATAAAATGACAGGACTGAATGTATTTATTGCAGGGGTAGAGATGAAAATGAAAGCAGCAGCTGAATATTAACCCAAGGTAGTAAGAATCATTTCAGTAGAGTATCCCATTAGCATTGTATCTTCATCCAGATTTGGGTATGAGACAAATGCAGGGGCCTGTAACAGTGTTGCTGTTCCCACATCTCCCACCTTCCTCAGACATTTTATGACCAAAATATTTTGTCATTTATGAAGACCTGCAGTAACAACAGTTGGATGAAGTCTATGAAATAGCTGATTGCACATTTAACATCTGGACTACTTCACTTGATAGAATGAAGAATTAAAGAATGTGCAAAAAGTAGAGTTGTCAGTGCTACACAACTTGAGGTCTTGCACAAACCTGAGCATAAATATTTGACCAAAATAAACCTTGTACTGAGGCCAAACTCATGGAAGACTTTCTGATCCAGCACTTACAGAGAGTATTCAGGCACTGCATCCTTGAAAGTGGAGAGTTCTCGCACATATTCATTATAAAACCATTTCACTTTGAAGTGCAAATTCATATAATCTGTGCTTTTGCATAACCGCTGCTTTTCATGTTCTGTAGGAGAAGGAATGGAGAAAAGCACTTAATAACATTCTAAGAGTAAATAACATTCCTGTACCTCAGTGCATTGGTGACATAATAACACAGGAGCTGCATTTTAAAGCATGATTGGCTTGATTTTTTAGAGTTAGTAGTACCCACAGTTTCAATTTTTGGGTTCAGGAAAAACAAACAAAACCAAAGACCAGACCACAAATGAGGTTTTTTACCTCTCTTCAGTGCAGTGAGAAACATCCCCATAAATTTGCTGACTTCCCATTCTTTAGATTCTTTGGCTGTTACAAAATGGTTAAGAAGCTGTCAGGTGTCAAGTGAGACAAAACACAACAGGTTGTGTAGTAGCCATATGAAATAAGAGCTATAAATGCCAGTTCCATATGAATCTGCAAATCGTGCATTGGCAAATGGACTGCATTTATCAGAGTTGAGAAAAAAAAAGAGGAGACAATTCCACAGTCCTACAGCCATCTGATTTATGGCACAAGTAGAAAAGCTGGCTTAATAAAATGCTTTTGAAGTTTCTCGAATGGACTTCACCTTCTCACTCTCCTCCTGTTTTCAACATACTGGATATGCAGATGGTCATGGGTGACAGGGGCTACCTGTAACCACTTCCTGCAATTTTTAAAGTCTGATTTAATTTTTTGGAATGAATGTCCATCTTTCTTCCAGGATTATGACCCTAATTTTAGCTTATACACTCTGTAGCCTCCACCCAGCCACTTCACACCTGGGCTATCCATCTCTTTGCTCCATTAGCTAACAGGCACTTTATCCTTCCTCAAATCTTTCATGTCCTTCTCCCAGTGCATGAACCCATGGATCCACAAATCTTGGGCCATAATAGTCATACCTTTCCTTACTGTGCACAGCTTCCTAAAATCTCCACAGATCTCATCTGTTTGAGGTGTCATATCACTTGCACATTCTTCCCTAAGAAAAAGACCAATTTCTTTTCCCAGTTCCCTTAAAAAGCAACCTGATACAGATGCTTAGCAGGAGTGATGTTCTTGTGTAAATAGTATGTATTAAGAACTTACCTCTTTCAAACCTCCTTTTTGATCCTTACTTCTGCTTGCTTTGCAGCACTGTATTACACAAATTTTTCATATATATTTGGATGTGAACCTAATTTTCTGTAACAGCAGGAGCATCCCATCCTCTGCCATACAACTGAATATACCATTTGATTCTCTGTCAGTATGTGAATTACACATTCTGTGCTTTTCAGATCTGACCAGGCACATTAAAAGGCAATGTTTAGTTTTATTACTATGCCAAATCAGCAGTCCACTAATATCACCATGGCATACGAGAAGTGTTTCAGAAGCATATTATTATGCAGTGAATTACTAAGTTTTGTGCAAATCAGCTTATGAAGTACCCCTGTGGGCTCTTATTGCCTTTTTAACATTGTGGGAGCATTTTCATCTTCACTGCCTTTTCATCAGTAAATCAGTTTCTGTCTAAATATTGCATTTATTCATCTTCATGCTACTTGAGAGTACTACAAATTCTGCCCAGCATAATCTCATTAGTTATTAGCCTTAAACAGAACCACAGGGAGAAAGAGAAAGGTATGTGCTGCTCTCATGGTTCATACTTCTGACAGACCTGAGGAAACATTTTTGTTTGTTTTTGGGTAGAAAGTTTTCCACAACTTATAACTGTAGAAAGCTAAAGGACCAAATGTTTGCGGAATAAGAGGTAGCTCTTACAAGGTAGACCAGCCTTTCGTTGAGAACAGTTGTCTTATTGCTATGAAATTCCTTGCACATCTACTGCTTAAGTCATTATTAAAAATCTGAATTACATTGCATCCCAAAAGAGTGGAATTTCTGAAATGAATAGCATTTTGTTTTCATTCAAGCATTGCATGAATGGGTTATTATATTATGCAATGTAACTTAAAAATATTTGCTATGGTATCACAATCCAAGCAAATGTTTATTTCAATTTTAAAAATGAGCTGCTGCCATTTATGGGCAAACTTGTCCAGGAGGGTACAACTTATACAACACCATTCATTGATATTTTCTTTTTTAAGTTAAAATTTATAAAACATTAGAAATGAGCACAAAAGTCATTCATGAATAATTGAGCTTTTTTCTTCAGGCTGTTATACCCTGTACGGAATATTTAAAGAGCCTCCTAGGAGTGAAAAATGCATCCTCAGTTCCCAATATTAATGAATGAGAACATCAGCAAACACTTCACATGACCTACAAAGTAGCTTAGTATCCATGCATATTACCTCTTCAGTTTATTTGAACCAAAGAACAGAGAAAAAGGCTCCCATGTGAGTTAGCCCATGACAATTCTAACTGGAATATGAATGAGTTTATCCACAGTAACCATGGATTTTGGTCACAAAACAGCAACATCACTGTAGGTGTTCTGAATTTAGGTTAGGACCAATGGATTGCTTTCTTAATTTCTGAAAAACTGGCACAAGTTAATGCCAATGTGAGACACCAGAGGATACATGTATGCATTTTGGAGATCTGTGCCTTTTCTCCTGGAGGAAAAGCTGGTGCCATGTTTCCCTATACAGATATACCAGTTTGGGACTTTCTGGAAAAGAGATTTAGTAACTGCACCATACAACTCTTTAAAAAAAAAAGTCCACTCTTGCTTTGTAAAATTATTATAACACTGAGTCAGTCAGTCTGGAACTAAAGCTGCCAATTGTGTGCAAATGTGCTTGGGAGAGATGATGACAGAAATACCTGAACTTTCTCATAATCGATTCTAGATAATGAAATCTCAGTATAGCAAACCTAATGTTATTAATCTTCTTTATTTTCTGCTGCTCATTTTATGAGACATTCCTGGTAGTGCAGCACATTTTTATAAGCATCTATTAATCTACTGAGTTCCATAAAGAGGGCATTTTCAGTTCCCACTGGCATATCCTCTATTACTGTATCGTGCATTGATGAAAAAAACACTGGTAAGATTTTTGTAAACTGTAACATCTCTAAACTTTAGGGGGGCAAAAAACTGTGCAAGGGGCACTTTAGCTGCTTTTATGCATTGAGTTCTAGTAACTTTTTTACAGCATTGACTGCACTGTGGGGAGGGTTCCATATCTCCTCAGGGGTCATGCTGTAATGCACACGTGCTTTCCTCGGGCTTGCAGTAACAGGCACTGGAGCTGCAGCCAGGAGGAAAACTGTGGAGAGTTGTTCCCTCTCAGTGGTACAAATTACAGTGACAGTAACACCTTTAAGAAGACTTTCAGTAAGCAACAGTGCTGAGAAAAAAAAAAAAATCTGTTCAAGTGTTGTTTGTATAACCAAGAAAGAAGAAAGTTGTTTGTTTTTTTTTTTTTTTTAAAGGCTGTTAAGTGGAATAAATGTATATAATTAATATATACAAATATGTTTGGTGTGTAATGATATCAGCTACAGACCTGGTGACACTGTATCTTGCAAATAATCCAACTGTAGGCACCTGTTCTTTTACAGAAAAAATCTGTATAGAGACATAACAGGAAGGACTGTAACCCAAGGTACTTTCCTCCCAGGCCTGTGACCAAGCAACAGTACTTTGGAATCACATTTGATTTCTTGCTCATTTTCCCAGCAATTGTTAAAGAAAGCTGAGAAGATTTTCTTAAAGCAACAAATAGAAGTCATAATGATGACTTATTAAGCAGAAATAACTACATAACACTAAAGACATAATGACATTTAACAAACTGGAATACAATCTTGCTCATATAGAATTATTTTTTCTTTTTAACCTTGAGGTAATAACATCACTCTGCATTTCCATGTAATTTCTGATATGAATTAGATGCTAAAAAAGGAAAACAGGGTAATCCAACAACCTTCATAGAAGATGAACATGTTAAATATTCAGATAATCAATTTGATATTTTGTTCAACTCCAATTTTTCCTTATTCGGGTACAAAAAACTCAGAGACTTTTTTTTTTTTACAGAAGTTTCTTAGCCACTGTTTTCTTTAACAATGTACAGTTAAACTGCTTGAAGGATTCTAATGAGATGGTTTTAAAGTATACTTCAAATCTTTATGAACAAGAACTGCCAGGAAATTAGTCTGTAAAAAAAATGAACAAATTGACTAGTTACAAATAAATATATATCTAACACAAAAAGCTTTTCCAGTTTTCAGGCTTTATAGATAATGTTGCAGGGATTAATAACTACTACAAAGAATATTGATGTGTAGCAAATTAATTATATCACAACCAGTTGGTTTGACTGGCATACATACTATTACCCTACAGTTTATTAAAACAGAAATGATTGAAACCAAGCAGATGGGAATTGTGTTTGGATTAACTGCAAATTTTCACATCAAAACTCAGCCGTTATTTTCAGCCATTGCAACATAATCCCACATTATTTGCAATAATTACTTGTCAATTGTTCTAGAGACTACCAGCTGCATATTTTATCTATTTATTTCAGAACTGCTGTTTCAGAAAACCCGCTATCTCCAAACTTTCAGTCGTATAATTGGGAAGTGAAGGTGTGACACAAACTGAGTATGGCTACTGGAAAAAAGCTGCTGTAAGGGATGATATTGATTGAGAATGAATTGTTATCCCTCCCTCTGCATCACTGTGGAAACATTACACCTGTATGGCACACATATGTTTTGGATAAAAGTAGGAGTTAATGTTTAGTGTATCTGATCCCAATGCACCTTCCCTACAGTACTGGAGGGGTTGCTCTGCCACTGCCTAATTAATGTGGGTATTATGCTTGTAGTGCTCTTGGCTTAATCCCTGTACCACTGAAATAACCATAAAGGCCCTGTTTGAATGTAACATAGTGGATCAGGGCACAAATGAAATAAAACTTAAAGTGCCGAACTGATTTACGAGAAGGAAACATTGCATTCTACCAGACATCCCAGGATCCTTCTACTTTGCTAAAGGCAAATGGAAGTCACTGGTTATTAACTGAAATACAGAACAGAACACAACTAATTGACAATTATGGATAATTTGCATTGATT